AAAGTGTGCCATCTCTCCATATATTTAAGCTGCCATTTCAAAATATTACCGTGTATTCTTCTCACATTTTGAGTTGAATTGGAGTGTGACTAAAATGGGTAGCGAAACCCGGGCCGGGCCGGGATTTTCGATAACGAAAACCGGGTTTTTGATAATCACGAAATAAATACTCATTCTTTCTTCATGAAATTTACAACCTCTCTGACATAGTTTATTATTCTAGGATTGGCCTTCGCTGAAAGTTTTAGGTCAAAATGTTGTGTTTTTCAATGATTATCACCGATTGCCCTTTTCCAAGTGACTAAAATGGGTAGCGAGCCTGGATTACTCATTTTGGCGATTTATACTTGTTTCGTGCAGTGTGTGTTACAATTATTTCATTTGGATCTTTGAAATTTCAATAAAATCTGAAACGTTTAACTGTTGCAGTTATAAATCACGATTATTGAAAATATACGCATTTTTTGCACACCTGGGATTGGTCCGAATCTCATTAAATTTTGCAAAACCTTTTATTATTCATTTATAAAACTTATCAGATAATGACATATAATTGAAATATAAATGACTCTTTTTTTATTTACATATTTTTATTATTTTTTTCTAATTTATTTCTTAGATGTATCTCGGCCCTATTTTGGCAAAAAATCTACATTCATTGGTATTCAAAAATTAAAATTGTGTCCTTTACCGCCATGTTGTAAACAAAACGCGTGCGCAGCTTCTTTGAAATTGTTAACTTGATCATCAAATGTGTCTATGAAAAATGCCAAAAACCCTAATAATTGAGATTTAATTTCATAATGATTGAACAATTTAACTATTTGAAGTTAATAAACAATCATTAAATGCAAATATCACAAACACTTTCGATGCATTAAAATTGTTAATCGTCAATATTCATTGATAATATATTGAAATTCACACAATAATTAACATCGAAAAACAAAACATTTTGATTTAACATTTATAAAACAGAAGGCAAAACCTATACTTATAAACTATGTCTGTAAATTTCATGGCTAGAAAAATCAGTATTTATCTTAATTAAAAAACCCGGAAAACTTATAAAGTTGTTTCCCGGGGGTTGCGGTACCCATTTTAGTCACACTCGTTGAATTGCAATGTAACAGGAATGGAAAAAAATGCCATAGACAATGTCAGGATTCAACACCCCCTTCCCTGCCCTGAATCTACAGTCACTCAGGTGCTCTACCAACTGAGCTATCTGGCCACTGGCACTAAAACCTCTCTGATTTCCATACTTTATCCCCATTCCATTCCATCCTCTCTCAGACAATCATCCCTGTCACTAAACATCAATCTTATTTTGGTTTATTGTTTTTGTTTAGCAAGACCAAAGGAAGTTTCCCGAGGGTAATCTACGAGTATTGTATTGTGTTTGGTGTTGTGTGTGTGTTCAGTTATTGCAAAGGATGATAAAATTTCAATAAAATCTCAAGTATGTCTTGACAGTTATAAATACGAAATCGCACGTTTTAGACAAGTTTTGTCATGCTCCGAATCTCAATAAATTTTGCAAAAATGTGATGAATATTCATTTATGAAACAAACTTACGCTGTGACATTTTCACAATAACTGATTCTTTTTTGTCCAAAGAGTGCAATTAACTTCAAATGACCCTATTTTGGCAAAAACGGTCTTCATATAGTAATCAAAAATTAAAATATGTATCCTTTACCGCCATGTTGTAAACAAAACGCGTGCGCAGCTTCTTTGAAATTGTTAACTTGATCATCAAATGTGTCGTATCGCACCTGCCATACTTTGCCTACTTATGAGTAAAAGAAAAAAATCACATCGTTTTAGTCTAAATAAAATCATTTAAACAGTATACCTGCACAGTTTGGGTAAATTGTTGTTACTGTGGTTCGTCCGGCTATCCCTTCTTCTGAACAGTCAGTTTTAAAATTGTTATAGTCATCAATATTCATTGATAATATATTGATCATTCACACAATAATTAACTTGCTTAGTAAAGAACTTTATTATCTTTTATTTATTAAACAAATATGGCATAGAAAGCTTGTAAACCACTTCACTCATCTGAGACTTAAGCTATGGCTAGGAAAAATCAGTTCAAAATTAATTGAAAAAAGTGAAAACTTATAAAGTTGTTTCAGGGGGTTGCGGTTATGTTTTGAACATACTTGACTCTACACTACATTGGGATGCTTTTGAAAAAAAAATACATAAAAGGGCTTTGTTGTTCTACGATTTTTAAAGAGCCCCCCTTTGAACTGATATCTGTGTAAAACTTTGTGGCCCCACCCTACCATGAGGGATAACAATTTAAACAAATGTAAATCTTCACTTCCTCTCGATGATTTCACATGAGATTCTTGTTCTTGGGAGGGAGATTTTGAAAAAAAAATGCCATTAATTTTCAGTGGCGGATCTAGCTGCAGATCTGTAGCTCTCCGAAAAAATATATTGATAGACCGGAGAGCTACAGTATTCATTAAAAAAAACTGTATATTTATTGCACACAAAAAAGTGCGCGGTTTCTAAAGAACTTTATTTCTCCATGTTTTTAAAACTGTAATCTCAAATTATTACTCACCGTGTGTTCCTAACATATTCTTTCATTGTTTCCACAACCAAACAATCTACATAATTGTTGTTAATAGTCGGCCTGGCCCTGATATTGCAATCATCCGACATTTCGCTTATTTATACTGCCATTTTGGTTTCAAAAAAATTTGGTAAAAGGCTTTGTTGATGTCAACTACGAGAGAGCGATTTGAAGTAAGGATTTTTTTATTCTAGATTTTTTTTTTTTTTTTTTTTGCAATTTAGGTAACAATTTAAACAAATGTAAACTTTTTTGTGCGCAATAAATATACAGTTTTTTCACATGTAGATTCTCCGGTCTATCAATATATTTTTTTCGGAGAGCTACAAATCTGCAGCTATGGCGGATCCAAACGTTCATGTGGGGGTGGGGTGGGAGTTGAGGCCCAAAGGGCCAAGGGGCAGGGCATGGGAGGGGGTGTCCCCCTCTTTTCAAAAAAGATTTAAGATGAAAAAATTTTGTTTTAAATGGTTCTAAATTGTGTATTTTCCAGCATTTTGGGGATACTTTTTGTAGTTTTTTAAAGACCGATCATCACAATTTAAAAAAAAATGTTTTCAATTTAATTTAACTTTAACACAAGATTTTAGACTTTGCTTTAAAAATTGCTGAATCTGACAATTTTAGGATTACAAGCAATTGACTTGAAGTTGTCTTACTTTAATTAAATGCAAATACAATGAATTTAGTCGTATGTCAAGCTGACTTCAAAGATACAACTAATGTGCAATATTTTTAAACACTAAAAAAATTAAAAATTGAATTCTTTTCAGAATCCCTAACTAGTGCTTTTCAACTTACTTGAGTTTATACTGTCAACACGTGTACAATTAATGAAATTTCAAACTGAAGAACAATTACATAAACTGGAGAATCTGTCAAAACTAGATGGGTTTGCTAAGCCAACCTGGTTTTGTAACAAAAAAAATTATATTAATGCAATTTTTAAAACGTTAAAAAAAACTGAATACTAGTTTATTCATAGTTTAAAAAACATGCATTTTATCAGCAAAAGAATATTACTGAGCAGCACCGTAACTATGCAGTTTTCTGTTGTTGGTACCTGCCTACATTGTACTGTGATTTTGTGACTTCACTAGCGGAAAGCGATTTCCTGTTACGTAGTTGATGCATATTTCACAGTTGTACAAACAATTAGAGTCTTATCAATAATGTAACAAAATGATATTTAATGACACTTGTAAAAAAAAATTCAATGAGCGCAGGGGGGGGGGGGGTTCCCCAAACCCCCCTGAATCTGCCACTGATTTTCATGAATTCGTAATTATTACCCCTTGGGAAAACGCATGGCCCTTCATTTGAAAAACTTGAATCCCTTTATCTAAGGATACTGGTTCTTGAGAAGAATTCAAGATGAAAATGTGAAAAGTTTACAAAGACGACGACGACGCCAAACAAAAGACAAATTTCAAGCTGAAAAGCTCACTTGAGCCCTCGGTTGGGTTGTGCTATAAATCTAGCGCGGATCTAGAGGGGAGTCGGGGGGGGGGTCCAGAATTTACAGAGTTATGAAATGTAAATAAATCAAGCAAATGTGACCCCCCACCTAGAAAATGCGGACCCCTCCTCGAAAATGCAGATCTATGTGAAAAATGGTTGCAGTTTCAATAAGTTTGTTTGAACAGATTGGATGCTAAAGCGGACGACCTGACTGAAAACGGATCATAAAATTTAATCGCATCCTTGTGAAGAGCAGATAACTTATTTTCAAAAACGGATGGGGACAATTTTTTTAGCCCATAGGAAGCAATTTAAGTGGGGGGGGGGGGGCACAGCCATGTATTTTCAGTTGGGGGCACTGTATACCAACTACCAAAACCTCCTTAACAGATCAAAACAGGGCTTCATGAGGAGAGTAGCGTATCAGAAACCCTTAGCCAGCAAAGATGAGGATGAAGAAACTACCAAACCCATAAATTCTTTTCCTGGGGAGGGGGGAGACAAGAAAAGTTAATTTTCTTACCATATTGATTGCATCAATTATGGTCTGTTTTCAACATCTTAAGAAAACATTATTTATCATCTACCCTTCCCAAACTGATAATCAAATGATCTGAGTTTTTTTATGGAAACATTTGTATAGGAACTGTGCATGAACCTATTAATATTAAATTACCAAACTGTTTTTTTTTTTAAAACTTGGTTTAAATTCTAAATAACATTTTAAAAAAAAAAAATCACTTTTTAAAATTTGTTTGAGAATGTAAAGGGGAGAGGGTCCGGACAGTACTCAATTATTCTCTCCTCTTTTTTTTTTGCCAACCATTTTATCACCTCGGACATTAAATTGTAGAATACCGGGTAACTTGAAAATTATGTACCCAAAGAGAACAAGAACCATTTACAGAACAACTTATCTTGAATACACATGGTATTTCGATCTCGATGTAATTTCATCAGACGTAGTTTTTGCCAGACACAGATAAATTTCCTTACTTTTTGATTTTTTATGTACAAAGCAGACGTCAAGTGATTTGCCATGACATTAAGCGAGTTCTTTACTCGAGTTACAGACTCGATATCCAAAGCAAGCATCCAGCCTGTCAGAGTTGAGCATCAAGTTGAACAAGTTCCACCATCAAGGATGAGCGAGTTCACATCTCTGTTGATCAGACTGGCACTGTCCGCTGGGCTGTCTCTCGTGTTGGGTAAAATTCTGCTTGATATGATGGACCCCACAAGGAAGCAAAAGAAGGAGGCAGAGAAGAGGGTTGGTTGTGAAGGAATTCGTGTCTTCTATTTTAAAAAGAAATGTTTTAGAGAATAGAGAAGCAAGGTTAACTTAATAAGTATGTTCTTTGTGATGGTAACGAGAAAACATGGAAATTACATCGGTTTTCAATGTTAAAAGGTTATTCATATTGTATTCTAGAGAAATAGCACTTAGTGTAGAGAATTGCTCTCTTGCACTCATCACATCCGACTCTGATGGAAGAATGGAGGTCAATGATTCATGATTCATTTCAGCTTAATGTAATAACTCATTTCATTTTGTGAATACACTATTAAAAATGTTATCTTTATGTTTTTCTTTCAGGCTAAAGAATTGATGAAAAGAATTGGTGTGACTAATGTAAAGGTAAATGTACTATGTCCATAAGGAAATCATTTGAACAACATAATCTATAAAGTTTCTCTATCGTATCAAAGCCCTAGATGATTCTCTGACATACAACTATTGATACAGATACAGAAAATATTATATTATTATATAATATATATATTATTATTTCATAATAGAATGTATTAATATTCATTTGATTACCTTTTAGTTGACAGAATATGAGCTTTGTTTCGCAGCTGACTTGATTGAACCAGAGAGCCTTGATGTTTCGTGGAGTGACATTGGGGGGTTAGATGATGTGGTCAGGTCAATCCAAGAAACAGTCATTTTTCCATTCAAAAGACGAGACTTGTTCAAAGATTCATATTTAATTCAACCACCAAAGGGTGTGTATGAATTTGCATTTTAGTCCTAATTTCTTTTTCTTTTCTTTTTTACATAGTAACATGTACATATTTGATTCAATACCCAGTATTAAAAATATATTTAAAATACAGTAGTATTTTCCACATTAAAAAAAGCTAACAGTAGGATTAAAGATTATATTGAGGAACTCATAAATTTAAGGTATTTTTTCAACAGGCCTCTTGTTACATGGACCTCCTGGATGTGGTAAAACAATGGTCGCCAAAGCAATTGCTAAAGATGCAGGTAGGAGATCCAGTGCATTGTTACATTTTTAAACTGTGTACAGTTTGATTTACTAATTTACTGAAAAACAACTGAAAAGGGAATGAGATTAATACTTTTAATCTGACATCAAAGAATGCATTACTTATATACCCAACTGTGTGTCATTAAATTTTGCTGTTAAATTCAAGCAGTTATGTAATATTGTGTTCTGACTTTTCAGATCACCACAGTATGGTTTCTGAATCTCTATCAACACTCTGAAAATAATAACAATGTACAAAAAAAAAATCCAGTTTCTCTCTTACCTTTGAAAAAAAGTTCCCTTAAAATGTGTTTTGTTTCGCAGATAAATGTTGTACTTTTGACTTCAAAAATTACTTGCGTTATGTTTAGCTAATAATGGAGAGGATATAATGAATTTATTATCAAAACAGTAACTTGATTCAAGGAGCTAGATCACATGTTGGTGACAGATGCTTTGTATCTCATTTGATGTAATGATCTGTGCCTGTCAACTTGAAGTGATCTGGGTCTTTGGATTAAGTTATTGTTATAATAATTACATATTTACCTTCGTATGTTCTTTATTTTTAGGAGCCAGATTTATTAATTTCAAAATTTCATCAATGGTGGATAAATGGTATGGAGAATCACAAAAAAGAGCAGAGGCCGTCTTCTCATTGGTCTGTTTATTCTTTTGGTTTTTAAAGTTATTTTCTATAGCTCAGTATTATCATTGAGCAGACACAGAGGTTAATCTCAGTACTATTTGTGTACTTTAGGTTATACATGTATTACAAAACAATGTAAAAAAAAAACTATACTAGATACTTGTTCTTGCAATGTGCTCATCAACAGAAACATATAAGGACTGTAGCTTTGAAAACAAGTGAACAACACAATGAACATTTTGACTGAACTTCGTTTTATACATTTTTCTTTAAAGAAAAAAAAAACAAACAGTAACAACAATAACAAACCAATAAACCCTTGAAATTCAAAAGATTCCAAGATAACAAGATGTAGATATGTCCTAAAAATATTCATACATGTACATTGTACAATCAATCAAAAAAGGCCCAGACCAAGTCAGAAAGATTTATTTTACTTCATGGAAATGCTTCACTCCTAGAACATAATCAGATGGACAGAGAGACATTGTGATTTCTTATGTTTCTGGGGCTTGTTGTGAATTTTTGGTTTAACTTGTTTCCATTTTTGAATGAGTAATGATTTTTACTGTAAATGTATTACATTTGGCGTGTACGATATTTGGCGGAAATTCAATTTTCAGCAAGTTAACGTAGATTTGATTAAGCGTTGTCTGAATTCGCTAGTTATAAAAGTTAGTATACGAGACATTTAGCGATGTACTTGAATTAGCAGACTCTGCTTTCCGCCAAAATCGCTAAATAGAATACACAGATAAATGTAATACGTTTACAGTTGTTTGTTCTATATATTTCAGGCTATGAAACTGCAGCCAGCAATTATATTTATAGATGAAATAGGTAAGAACTCAATTTCTGTTTGTGTCTTTCAATTTTCTTCAATATAACAATCTCTTTTGGAGAGATGTTGTTATTTCTCTGACAGATACTTCTGCAGTGGGATTCATCATGACAAGATTTTTTAGATAAATTAAAGAAGTTGATATTCTGGACCAAGTATTACAGTCAAACTTCGTTATCTCGAACCCGATGGGGCAGAGAAAAAAAATGTGATTTGGACTTCCACATCACTTTGACATATCCATGATATTCGAGAAATCAGAGTTCGAGATACTGAAGTTCAACTGTTTTTCAAATTAATTAAAAATCTAGATCTACTTAATAGATAAACAAAAATATTTACCTTAAAAGATGAACAGACATTTAATTATAATAAATTTAAATAAATGCACTGTTTCTCCTGCTAAAAACTTTGATATACACAAGCAACAACAGAGATGAATGAGCCAGTGGTAGGTTTTTACTCACACTAGCTTAAAAATAAAAATTTTTATTATTTTTTTTATTGTATGTTTACATGGACAAATATTTCAAACATTCATCTATCAACTTTAAAACAGGCGGGTTCAATAGAAACTATTGCAACTATTCTAAATATTTCAAACATTCATGTATTAACTTTAAAACAGGTGGGTTCAATAGAAACTACTGCAACTATTCTTTATCAGATACCCCTGAAAATGAATAAAGTAGGGTAATTGGATTATTTAATTCTATTCACTTTAAAACTTTGTATTTTATAGTGTACATATATGAATGAATAATTTATATTCTAAGATCCATATGAAGAATAAAGGTAAAAAAAAATATTTTTCAAAACTTTTCTTATCGTTTCTCTCTCACGTAACACGTGTTAAATCCACTAATAGTATTTTTTCCATCCTAGTTCCTGTATTTTATGTTACAAAAGTTGTTGAAACAATAGATTACATCTTATCTCAGTATTACTCCACCTATTATTTTTTAAATGAAATTCTAGCTTATGATAAATGTTTTTACATGGCCACTTAAAAATTAATTAATACAAGGTTAAAACATTATTTTGTATCTCTAAAAACAACTTGAGTCTCTGAATTTTTTTAATTGTCAATAGAGGCTTGCCTGGTTACTTAATAATTAACAAAATTACATGTACCAGAATTCTTCTAAAACTGTCAGACTCTTAAAGTTACTACTGCATGAATCACTTACAAAATAACAATAGCATGACACAACATGATGCTTTTATAATAGGCATTGAACAAAAGTGATAAAACACATAGTGTTGAAAAACAGTTTTACATACCATAGACTACTGAATATTTAATAATGTGATTTGTGTGATAAATTAGGTGCCTAGTTTTGGAGTGACTGTTTGTAGGATAATACACGACTGGGAAATTTCATACAGCATTCCTAGCTCATTACAAGACTGTGTAACAAATATTGTAATGTTATTTATTACACTTAAATCTCTTTCTACAACTTGTTTTGTCAGCTTTATTGTGTAATAACTGTGTTTTTTAAAATTAATTGATCTTGTAGATTCCTTTTTACGGTCCAGAAGTTCCCAGGACCATGAAGCCACAGCAATGATCAAGGCTCAGTTTATGAGTATGTGGGATGGCATTATTACAGACCCCAAATGTCAGGTGATGATCATAGCAGCAACAAATCGTCCCAGTGACATTGACCCAGCCATTCTTAGAAGATTACCTTGCCAATTTAGCATTAAAAAACCAGTAAGTTAGGTATTTCAAAGTACATGTACAGCATAGTGTATTTCATTATACATTGTATATGAACAGTAAAACACTTTAAATGTCCTTACATTATGCATATACATATATAAGCATGTCCTAATGCTCACAATGTATGATAAAAAAGGATATCGATTCATTTGGTATGCTACGAGGGTTGTACCACATTGAATTACGAATTTTAATTAATTGTCTGTTTTTTTGTTTATGGTGTGTAATTTTAATAAAATCTTGAAATTTTACAACTTTTTTTACTATGGGGTCATGGTGAATTTCGTAAGCGACGTGACAACCAAATTTCATTAAATTATATTTATAAATCTTTCATTTCTTAGATTTTTCTTATCTTTTTTCTACTTTAAAATTGAATATCCATATCAAGACATGTTACTTTTCTACTATAATGTCTTTTGTACTGATTCGTATATTATTGAGATCTTAAAAAAATAGAAAAAAGTCTATGCAGTTAATCGATTAGGTATGGAAACTATGCAAAACCATATAGGCGCAACGCAACGTCCATGCCATAAGGGGGTATTGAAGTATCGATGGAGTTAATCATTCAAAATGTCTCTCCTTCCATTCTTATGAAGCTACCATTTAAAAACTTGTTCTTTGTATGAAACAAATTTTACTCTTTTTAAATTTTCCTGTTTGCACACATAATTTTTACGTAAACTTCTTTCCTATTTTAAAAATATATATTTGTCATTTTTCCCAGTCGTGAAATATATGAATCTCTTTGCGCTACAATTGTGCAATTTCTAATTTTTAATACAGCAGTATGTTAAAAATAAAAATTTTTTTTTCAATAATCACTTTATTTATTTATTGGATAAAGCATAAAGATTTTATCTGAATCAATATATTAAAACTTGTGTTTTAATTAATTGGTTTTTTATGTAATTTTAATTGTCCAAGGTGAATTTCCTATATTAAATTAATGTTTGTTTTTCTACTTCATCCCAGACTTTTTATTGAATACCGATAGAAAGGTTTATTATCTGTTTAATTCTATAAAATTTATATTTGTCATCAAAATATATAAATACAGATTTTTTTTTTCATAAATTTATTTTTCAGGAAAAACTTCAAAGAATCAATATATTAAAACTTGTGTTGTATGGAGAAGACACAGAGGTATGTTTAATTCTATATTGCATAATTCAGATTTTTCATATAAAATTATATATGACTTAAATAATTATAAACTCTTCTGATCTGGGCAATATTTTGTTGAAATAAAGAAATTCTACAAGTATTAAATTTAAATCATAATTTATAGGGTTTAGATTATGAACAGTTAGGAGAAGAAACTATGGGAATGACAGGGAGTGACCTAAAGGAAGTTTGTAGGGTAGCATCAACCAATCGAATCAGAGAGTTAATCCAGGACAACCAGTCAGATAATATCTAGTGAGTACTCTAGTCTTAATCATTGTTAAGAGTTTTCCCCCCTTTTATAAGGAGTTGAGTAGTTTATGAAATAAAAGGGATACAGTGTGAATATGTCCAATTCATGATATAATTTATTTCAGTTTTTTTGTTGCTATAGTGTAAAATTTTAGAAGATTTTAGTGAAATTATTGCATTATTTTCATAATTTATACCAATTATTTCTCATTTTTTTTCAGTAAAGTGAAAATAGACAGACTAAGACCTGTAACAATGAAGGATATGGCAGTTGCTATTGAAAAGGTTTCAAAGTCCAAGTCTGAAGTGTTCACAAGTTTTTCTGGGTTTCAAATGGACTAAAGATTGTTCATAAGCATGGAAACTGATTAAAATGCATCTTTGAAAAGCCAAATGATGATTTGTACTAAACTAATGCAGATATTAAATTCCAAATTATCATCATACACATTATAGCAATCCATTGGTTTTAATATTCTTTCAATGAATTTTCTCCCCTTGCTCTTTGTATTGTCTTTGAATGTAATGTATATATTTTTTTCATTAATTCTTTTTGTATTAGATATTATAAAAAAATTTGACTCTATTAAGAACATTCTAAATATATGTGCTTTATGTCATATTGTATCAAAATTAAGGAGTAGAACATTGATTATGTTGTGAATGCCTCAGAGCTTCTTAGCTATTAGGTAAGAGAAGGGAAAACACCCCCTCCCTAAACACCCACCCACACACATACAAAACACTTCTGTTATTTATGTGATATCTGTTGGATGAAAATGTTACTTAATTTTTATTACTGATTTAATATCATTCTATTGAATGTTATTTTTATTTTAAGTGATATTTTTCATCTTTTAACTGATGAAGTTAAAGTATGAGAGTTACATGTACTGAATTAAAGAAACTGGTTATAGCCAGCTTAAAGAATCCTATGTGTTACAGTATGTATATTTTTTATCTACTTTAGTCTGTTTTCCTAGTCAGCAAGCTGTTGCAAATTGAACAAGATGTGTTTGTGAAACACTTATGCCCCGGTATGGCAAAGATTAACCTTAAATGCAATTTTAATATAATGGTACCCAAATTAGGGTATTCTCACGGGAAATACAATTGTGGAATATAAGGAATAAATAAAATAAACAAACAAAAATATGAAAGTAGGCCAAGGTTAAAGTTCATAATTTCGAAAATCTCCAAGGTCAAAAGGTCAAGGTAATTGGTGCCCAATGAAAGGTCTTGCCACAAAAAATATGCATGTGAAGTATGGAAGCCCTAGCCCAAACCCTTCAAAAAGTAAAGGCCAAGGTTAAAGTTCATAATTTCGGAAATCTCCAAGGTCAAAAGGTCAAGGTAATTGTTGCCCAATGAAAGGTCTTGCCACAAAAAATATGCATGTGAAGTATGGAAGCCCTAGCCCAAACCCTTCAAAAGTTATGGCCAAGGTTAAAGTCAAGGTCAAAGGGGTTAACATTCTTGGTATCCAATGAAGGGTCTTCTCACAAGAATTATATATGTGAAGAATGAGAGTTCTAGCCCTTAGCGTTCAAAAGTTATGGCCAAGGTAAAATTTTTTTTTATAAGTACATAAATCTTCAAGGTCTAGGTAATTGGTATCCAATGAAACGCCTTGCCACTAAGAATACATAAGAGAGGTATGGAATCTCTAGCCCCACCCTTCTTTAAAAAGTAGGTCAAACTCCAAGGTCAAGAGGTCAAAGTTCTTGATATGAAATAAAAGGTCTTTTCACAAGGATTGAATTTGTAAAGTGTAAAAGCACTAGCCCTAACCCTTTAAAAGTTATAGTCAAGGTTTGCTTTTTAAAAGTAGGTCAAACTCCAAGGTCAAAGGGTTTCTGCTATCCAATGAAGGGTCTTCTCACAAGGATTACATATATGAAGTATGAAAGCACTAGCCCTTACCGTTCAAAAGTTGTTGCCAAGGTTAAAGTTTTTTCATTAGTAATTGTATAGAAATCTCCAGGGTCAAAAGGTCAAGGTAGTTGGTATCCGATGAAAGGTCTTTCCACAAAAAATACATAAATGAAGTATGAAAGTCCTGGAATATACTGTTCAAAAGAAAAGTTTGGAATTTTTGTGCAAAAGTGGGTCAAACTCAAAGGGTCAAATTTGGTGGCACCCAAAGAAAGGCTTGTCACATGGAATACACATGTAAAATATGAAAGTGATAGCTCCACTAAATCAAAATTTATGGCAAAGTTTAAGTTTTTGCGGACAAACAGACGGACGGAGAGACAGCTAGACGGAAGGACACGACAAAAACTATAGACCCCCGAAATTTTGTTTACGGGGTCATAAAAGAATAAAGCATATACATGTAATTCAAAGAGGGGAACTCATTTATTTAAAGGTTTATTCACAGAATACTTATATTTAGATGTTTATTTGTTCATGCCTGTGTATATCTTATAAAACACAGCTTTATGAAATATGTAGAGATTTCCATAATTATGTCAACATCATATTTATTCAAGTTATGACCTACAAGGATCAGTAGGGACTATAAAAGGGGTTCAAAGTATACATGGGAATATACACTACTAACGGGGTAATCGCCGTATAAAATTGGGAAAACATAAGCTATTACAAAGTGACATGGCTTTGGAGAGAGCAGTGTGTCTGAGAATGTTTTAATCACTAGATCTAGTTTCAAATTAATTCTAAGTAACTAAGAAATACTAGTAAACTGGTATTTCATAGTCTGTCTGTGGAAGCATTTGGTAAGAGGACTAATTAAACCAATTGCAGACGACAAGTGTATTAACCCTAGTTCTTTATACATTCGAACGACGATTTTTCACCTTTAATTTAAGGAATTAATTTAATTTTTAAGAACACATGAGGACATGAACTACGGTTTCATGCCGGCATATTTCATAAAGTGCTTCATGATAAACATGCAGGCGTGAAGCTCGTACCTCATGAATGGAGGGGGCATAAGCATAAAGTAGCTATGTTTTCTATAGAATTATATATCGATAAAATTATAACACAACCCCCCCCCAACCCCTGGTTTATACGGCCATGAATATTGCATGTGTGGAACACACACAGTCCAGGCACGTAGCATCGTTTTTGAAAGTGGATGGGGGGGTAACCAGAGAAATTTTTTTACTACCCTGAAAAAGTTGACAAGCAAAAAAAAAAAAAAAGAAAATTAAAAGTTGCCCAAACTCGAAAATCCTATTTCGTGGGGGGGCAACTTTTTGGCCAACTTTTTCAAAGCCAACTTACTTTTAATTCCATTTTTTTTTTTTTATACAATTCTTTGATATCACTTTACTATGGAAAAAAAGTGGGGGGCCAACCATCCCTTCAATCAACATTTTCTATAGTAAAAGTAATGTTGGGAAAAAAGTGTGGGGGGCCAGGCCCCCCCTGTTGCTACGTCCCTGCAGTCTCTGTGGGTTATTATGGGTCGTAATATTGTTAAAAGAAATGTTACTTGTCATTATCGAGTACAGGTTTTGGAGTAATATTACGACCCATTCCGGTGAGGGAGAATCGAAGAAACAAGTGCACAAACTACGGGCGGAGAGAAAATCGAATTCCTGCATGCAGGGTTTATCACGCACCCAGTTACTTTATGGAGTGAAGCAAACTTCTTAGTTCTTACAAATTCTCTCTAGAGAAGTGGACAGTTATGCGGTTACATGAACGTGGACCTGGGCTGGATGCCCATGCAATTCTGCAAAGCACTTCGAAGCTGGAACCTTTAATTTGTGAATACTTAGAATTTCGATAGAATATAAGTACTCTTTTGAAATTAAAATCTAACATTACCGATAAAATATCACATTTTAATTCAGACAGTAATTCGACGAAAGACCCGTTTTGCTCTTCTTTTACAAAGCATTTTATATTAAAATCAAGAAATGACAAGGGCAAATACATGTTTGAACAAAACACTGGTGAGTATTTATGAACACCACGTTGCAAAAATCCTCTTTTCCTTTATACAAGACTTTACTTTTTCTCTTTCATGTAATATTTATGTAGAATTTAACCTATTTGATTGGAAATTTAATCGATAAATGCATTGCAGTTGTGCAAAATGTATGCGCCTCGGCCCCTTTTGCACAAAGCGAATGGGTTGTTGGGTTACCTGTGGGCAATCAGAGGTGCACTGAATGTTCACATTACCATTAAGATACCCCAGTATCTTTGTAATTTATTTGAATTTCATTCTTCTACTTCGTATAATCTTCGATCTGAAAGTAATTATGATCTAAGATTGCCGAAATTTCGTACAAACTTATTCAAGACATCTTTTCAGTATTCAGGTGTACATCTATGGAATAAACTTCCCCAACACATTAAACTCTCTCCATCTCTACGAACATTTAAGCGTAATATAGAAAATTACATCATCAGCTGTCGCACAATTATTTGAAGACAATAAGGTTTAGATATTGTATATTATATTATGATATTATGATTGTTAATTAACTATACGTGGACACTATATTCATAATCTTATGATTGTAATTCCTTTAACATATTAATATTATATATGATGAATTGTATTCATATTTTTTGTATTTGATATATATAGAAGGCATAGTGCATGCACTAACCAGGTTATATTTATTATTATTATTATTATTATTAAGTATAGTGTGTCTAAGACACCTCCAAACTTTTTGATAATCGAACAGTTCATAGTTAATGTATCTTTCAAACATGTAAAATTTGTTGATTCCTCTTTCAGTTCCCATACAGAATGTATGCACATATGCATGGCAATCCATCGGCTTATATTTTGAAAAGATTGACAAGTGCCTCTGCAAAACGATAGGACACACGCTGAAATCTTGCTGTCCCTCAATGGTATAACTTTTTTATCGAAAAGAGGGGGGGGGTAGTGAGGTTTGTATGCATCAGCAGGTAAAAAAAAATCATTGCACTAAAGGAAATACATGGGGTTCGTGATTAATTAACAGTACTAAATTATTATAACACAAAATCACACGCAACAGCTTAATTTCTAATTTACGTTCACAGATAAATATTAATGAAACAAGTAAAGATGCATGTTGTATATAAATAATTTTTGCACGCCGACATCTGTTTTGTGTTGGCACTGTCTGGCAAGGTAGGGAACCGTTGTTTGAATACAGTGGTTCCTATCTTATTGACAACAACACGACGGGTGCTTTGTGTGAGGAATTCATGGTATGATTCCAGTTTTCTTTTATAACTTAATAGTTAATACCTTTTTACAATACATGTGCCCTAGATCCACATGTTAAAACGCCGCTATTTAAAAAAAAAAACAGAAGTCACAGATAAAAATGATTATTATATAATGTTGGGTATGTATACATGCTAAAATTTTGATAAATCACTCCATGTTATCACAGATTAAAACGGATAAAAACAAAACACAAAAAACGGACAAACTTCTTGAATATGAAGAAAATCGCATTAGCGATAATCTTGAAAGACAACAGGGTTCGTAATAAATAAATCTGCTAAAGTCACCGATACGTCAATCCCGAAAATGGAGCCCCTCTTCGTTGGGAACAGCGATGTCATTGATGATAAATTCATCATCAAAGTGGACACATTGAGACAGTATCACAGTGGCCTTGACGGTGATGTCGCCAAAGAGTTCGCGAGACTGTCTCAGCATCCGATCCTTGAGAGCTCGCTTGGTTTCTTCTGCTTCTTCTTGGGAAATGGGAGTGGACATGAAAGTATGCATCGTCTTGCTCCCCTCCACGTAACGCCACTGTATGGTAGATAGCTGGTCCCGGGCCATCTGCCCCGCCCCCAGGGGGATCCCGTTCACAAGTCGTGGAAGTCTCTTGTAACAGGAACTGGGAATTTCCGCGTCACAGTAAACCGTTTGGAATGATAGTTGCAAAAGATAACAATGCTTTTCGTCGTCTGATTTTCGCTGAGAATGCACTAAACGTCCAGCGTTTTTCGGACTGATGGTGAATTGTGAGGTAGACTTCAAGAAATAATTTTGTTGATTTCGTTCTCTGTTTAAATCCATCACTGAAAGCGTGTCCAGTCTATTCAAAGAGAATTCTAGTTCCGAAAGAGAAGCCACTTTGAAAATTTTGAAGTCCTTCCAGTAGATTAGAGGTTATATACTACGGAACACCGTACTTAGTACAGACGACCAAAACAAAAACAAAAGCACGTAGCTCCAAGTCAGTAGAGTTGGTTTACAGTCACTTGTGGTTTACATTACGTATTTAGGGGAGGCGGTGGGAGGCAAAAAGCGGTTTACCTGCCAGATCATGTGCAGACGAATCCAATCGGATTGATTTAGGCCAAGTATTCGATTCCACAGGAACTTTTCTGATTATCAAAGCGTGTCAGTCCAGATATGCAAACTTGCCTTTTGTGTCCGTTTTTTAAAGATCTTGGAATGAATACGCACTTCTGCAATACGTCTGTCTACGAACTGTCATTTAATGAAATATATGATTTTCGAAAGAAGAATTTAAAAGAAGTATTTATTCTGAGGTAGTCGATATTCTTATTTATATGTTCCAGTATAAAGCGAACATTTCTTGTTTGGGGATTTTTAATTCTAATTTTACTTTATCGAAATTTTTCACGCCAATCTCTTTGCGGAAATTAATGACTTAGGGTTTTTTCTTTCCATGCATGTTCAAGACAAAATGCATTTTTAAATGGAAAATAAAAAATTTAAATACATAATTTCGCTTAAATATTGTTTTATCCAAGCATTTTCAGCTTAATCCAGATTTAGAAACATTTCTCTTCAATATCATATACGCCATCTACCGACTGAGACGGAAGTCCAGTAGCTCGGAATTAGACTATCGATATCTTAGGAACGGAACCTTTGCTGCCAAATTTTACTTCCACGAGAGTCATTTCTAAGTACAAGATGATAATATCAATATAGATGTAAAACGATACAAATTCTATGTAAAAACGGAACCAAATAAAAAAAAATTACAAGCATAAGTCTATGGGTAGAGTATTTCTTATTAAAGTTATTTGGATTTCATACATATCTTTGGTGGATATATGCACACACTCTCCCTTTATAAATATATGTATATGAAAATTAAATGATTACTAAAGATCTACAATGTGTATTAAGAAAATAAAAATCTTAAAAATTTTCAAAAAGGAAAAAAATAACTTTTCTTAAACCTTTCAGGTGTAAAATGACCAGCTTCTTGCATGTTATCTGACATGTGAATTAATTAATTTGGTTCATTTAATTTTCCTTTAATTACACTGAATACCTTTAAACTAAAAGCAAATGAATATTAGTTTGAATGGAATCACATATTACCAACCCATTATTACCCCCCCCCCCCAAGCGGCGTGGAGCGGACTACAGACACTGGTCTAGCAAAGACGTTGTAGACCCATGTCAATACATTTCAATTTTCAGATTCGAACAAATGTAAAATGCAGTAATTAATTCGCTTGTTTATTGATTGAAATCGGATAAATAAAACATTTCTAAACCAGAATCAAGTCTCATCCCCTTCCCAACATTTTCAGGATTTGTATACAGAAAATAGGTTTAAATGCTATGGATACAGTAAAAGCTAACTTTGACAACGTACAGAAGCAGAAAGAAATGAGAAATTTTCAGATACCCATTAAAAAATTTTGTTTTAAATTTATTATATATTTGACTATGTAGTATGTAGATATTTCACCACCAAGATTACGTACGTTTTTTTTATTTTAACTTCCAGATACTGTTTTTAATTAAACTACTGATATTTTCATTTTCTAAAATGTGAGTTATCAACATGTGGCTTTATATTTTTCAACCATTTTCCAAATTTACATGGCATTTATTGATTTTATGTGCAGCCAATAATCATTAAAATCAGTTCATCTTGACAAAGTCAAACAAGGTGCACTTTTCGTTGTAATTGCATTTTTTTTAAAAGAGATTATATCTACCCATGGCTGAGGAAGTTTCATTATAAAAGGACCATAAATTTAACATAACTGTTTCCTCAAGTTATTCTTGAAAATAAATTTCCTTTAAAAGGTTGACAATTTTTATTTCTGGGAAATAATATATTAGAATGCAAAATAAGATCTCTATCTCCCTCTCTCTTTCCATGTATCTTGAATGATCTCTTCAGATGATTGTAAAGTCCACAAAATTATGATGAAGATTGAATTTTTATTTAACACTTTTCATGCCTTTCTTCATGTTGTCCTTTTTTTTCAAAATTGAGTTTATAATTAGCCATTTCTGACTAAACAAACTTTACCCTGTTACATCACTCAAATGACCTATCTCTTTACTTTGCTCACAAGTCATGGTATCACTGCCACAAAAGCAAGATACATGTATTAGGGAAGTCTGAAATTTTCAATCTCATTCTTCACTTTTTTAACAGTTTCAGTTCACTAATGAAGAAGCCTGAGATTTTCTTTCCTGTTTTGCACCTTTGAGACAATCTTCATTTTTGCCATTAAAGAGGAAGTCTGAGATTTTGTATCTTTATTTTCACTTTTGAGATGGTCTTCATTGTCTCTGTGTGTTGTAGATTTAATACATATCCTGGTTTTTATCTATGAAATAGTTTCAGATGCCTATCTGTGAACTACTGGTAGTTTCACATCTCCATTTGCCTGTCTATGAACTAGTTTCATATTCCTGAGTGCCTGTCTGTGAACTTGATTCACATTCCTGTATATCTGTCTGTGAACTAAATTCACATTCCTGTGTGCCTGTCTGTGAACTAGATTCACAATCCTGTGTGCCTGTCTGTGGACTAGTTTCGTATTCCTGTGTGCCTGACTTTGATCTAGTTTCACTTTCCTGTAATAGTATGTCTGTCTGTGAACTAGTTTCACTTTCTTGTTTGTCTGTCTGTGAACTAGTTTCACTTTCTTGTTTGTCTGTCTGTGAACTAGACTCAACATCCTGTTTAACATGGGCCCCCTTCCTTTGAGGTATGACTGAACAAAATGCCTGAGACCAGTTCTTCATTTCTGTGTATTTCAAAAGTATGTCGAACACTAAAAAGAGATGTCAAAGCATTATTTAAGATTTTTAAAAATAACACTAAACAAAAAGCACATTCTATTTTTAATATCCTATCCTTTTATTTATGTATCAAAATGCAAGAAATATAGCCAACACTACACATAATTTTTACAATAGAATTAACTCCATTCATTGAATAAACACTGTATCAAGTGTCAGCTACACGGTATGATTTGATCTGATCTTTTTAGAATCAAATGAAATTATCACATATCCTTTTTTATTACATTTTCAACAGTGAAATACTGTAATTTATCCATTGAATAAAAGTGATATCCTGTCACAGTGTGAAAGGATATCAAAATGATATCCTGTCACAGTGTGACAAATATCAGAAGTATGGTAAAACTCTCGATTTACCTTCCCATAACGAAGAGTGTTGTAAACATATTCCTTGGACTTTTATAATATATATAGAGAGTAAATAAACCATTCTAATAGAGAATAAGACTGCCAAAGTTCCCCCAAATATATTGCTGAAATCCATGTTTACTATAGGATTAAACGTTCTTTTTTCAGAATTTATCGATGTGTAATCTCTGCCTTTTTACTAACAAACTGAATAAAAGTGCAAAGCACTTTTATGTAAAGTTTGTGAATAAAAAGGCAGAGTTTACACATTGATAAATTCTGAAAAAAGAACGTTTAATTCTTCTAATTCCAATTACGAATTTTTAAAATTATTAAAACTATTTCTCTTTGAGGCCGCCATACAATCCGTTATTTTGTCCAGCGTAGGAATACTTAATGCCGCAAAGAAACGTATTCAAGATGAATATAGATAAAATCCAACTTTATTTGTCAAAGCAATCAATAATTAAACTTATAAAAACTCATTGAATGTTGTTAAAGTCAACAAATATCGTAAATATGCGTATTCTCCAAAATAATTCGTCCTTGACCATGGCCATGTTGACGTCATGACGAAAGTTGAAGACCGACGACGTCCTCGATTTACTCTGGTTCGTTCAAAGATTTAGGGAGAATATGGGATCTGTAGGATGTAAATATATGAATTTGATGCTGAAAAAGCAAGAGTCTGAGGTATGTTTCTTTTCCCTATCACAACAATACCAACTGAGCTGATATGGAACGTCGAGAAAATGACAGCATGATCAGCAATTTCAAAAATTCACACTCGTGATCCGACAGTGACATAAACATAATATTCCCGTCTGTCAGTCCTGTTTATCTCCTTTTCATTCATTAATTCATTCGATCATTTTTTATTGTAAGTTTCTTGTAATCATAATTTAGCTAAAACGGACTAGAAGTATCTGTTTTCATTGTTTTTACAACAGTCAAGAAAGTAGTTCTGGTTGAAAAATTCATCGATATGTAAACTTTTTCTTGAATTTGTTCTCGTCCAATCAAAACACAAGGAATCAATAAATAAAATTAAGATTGGAATTATAATGTTTTCAATCTCGTATCACTTAGCTATGACGTCTCAACCGCGCAACTATACGTCATGTCACTATGACTGTATATATATACAAAAAGACAAAATAGGCAAAGGGAAAATCAAAGAAAATGTAATAAACAGAAAATTCAATGTTTTGTAGTTGAATATGGAACAAGGTTTTAACTTATCATGTGCCCGACAAATGGAATGTACATTTTTTATTGGATATTTTGTTTGAATTTTGAATATAAATCAAAAAGATAATCTCCAAATGGAAAAAATATTGTACACTTTAATTTGTTGTACAAAGTTTGCCTTCTCCTTAATAATTTTTCTTACAGATTCTTACCATGGTTTATGGTGAGAACTTTTCTGGTTTTCATATCCAAGAATTCGGAGATTGGGAGTCTTGCATGCCCTACACCTTTTTCTATTGCTAAGGAATGGCACAATCCCTACAAAAATGAATTTTCAAAAAATTAAAAAAAAAGAGATTCCTGTTCAAAATTTTCACCTAATATGAATATAAATGCACAGTAAAAACATGATCATTAACCTAACACTCAAGGTATATGGCAATAATGTGACATACTACATTTACTTGAATTAATGATATACGGTATGTGAAGAGCTTTGAACCTTGTGGTGATTATGATCAACAAGTCCTCCTATGATGTAAGCTTTATTTGGATCTAGTTCCTGCAGTGTGTTTTCAGACTCGCTACTCAAATAAACAATGTTCTCCTTCTCAAAAACTTCATGGTAATCCTTGCTGGTAAAATTCACCTGTATTTGTGAAATAGGATTTGAAACAATTATTTTGTGTGCCCAAAATATCTTTCTACAGAAAGGATATTAACCGTCAAGTTTATATTCTTCTTGAAAAATTTCAAGGCCATGCTCATGTATTAAATATGGTTTATACTGATTTTTGAAAATGTGAATCATCACTATACAAAGAAGCTTTCATTAAACTTTAATCATTAGTCGTCCTACGATTTTCAAAGTCCTACATTTCTTACTAAAACCTATACTAATTTGGGACGGTATTGGTAATCTTTTGATAAAAAATGAATACTCTTATATGAGGATACTCCAATTCAAGTGTAGTTAAAATAAGTTGTGGTAAAATTAAAATACTTCAAAATTCTACCAATTATACCCTACTGCCTAAAGAGGAGCAAAGAGTGACCTAAGAAATACAGAAATAAATGTATTTTATGTAATAAATGAAATCATTGTTGTAGACAGAAATTAAATGTATGCGCACAGTTATACATACATCCCAGTTCTGATAATCTCCAATGCTCTCCAGTCTTGCTTTTGTCTGGCCATGTACACCAGTGACATGAAACTGCATAGGATTCTGTGCTCTTCGGTTGCTGGAGTAACAAAACTGTATTTGCTTCACTAGCTTCGTTATATCCTAAAAAACATGCATGCTTTTTACCAAAGAGAATTTTAATACCAAAGCCTGAAAATGGCGAGAAATTTATGATGATTGATATTGTATGAAGCTAGTATGAATCTTTCAAAAATAGCTTTTTACTGTCGTCATTGTAATTAAAATTAAATTAAATTTCAAAAAGAAAGAATATGTAATCTTTGTTTTATATTTTACCTTCTCCCCCATATAACTATCCAAAGAACAATCTATAACTACAGAAGTTTTGCAAGAAGATTTAGCCATTGTGTTAGTCCGCAACTTTTTCCTGGTAGGTGCCATGACATCTCCTCTTTCTAAGGCCTCTCGTCTTTTCCGTTTCTTTCTCTGTTTTTCTTTAGCTCTGCAAAGAAAATTCAGTATTATCTTATTCTTATATGCATGATCAAAAATTCATCACTGAATAAGTCCTTGCAATGCTAGGGGTCCTGAATCAACACGCTGCCATGGGACCCCTGGCCATTTTCATTCAATAGTTCATGGGCAGACCATAGTATTAGTAGTCTTCTTTTTTTTTTTCAGTCAACCAATCACATTAATTAAGCCATTCTTTGATGAAAAGCTTGTAGAACATGCATTTGAGGTGTCAACTAAATCCTTTCTGTTTATATTATCTAACTATTTCTGAAAGTTTTATTTGATTGGTGCTTCTCAATGAGAGAAGTAACTTTTAAGCCCTATAATATAGAATATATAGGACATGTTGACTCAGGGCCCCTGACACACAGGGGCCTGTAACATACTGTATTTGATTTTACGTAATCACTATATGTATACAAAAAGAGAAAGGCTTTCTTTTGTATATATATAGTGATTACGTAAAATCAAATACAGTATGTTACAGGCCCCTGTGCCCTGACATTGCAAGGATGCACTAGGGAAAAAAAAACAAAAAACAACAACAACAAAATTCAGAGACCCAGCTCACTCTAAATACATTTAAGATTGTGTATTGTATGTATTATACAGAGGGGTAGGAGGGGTACTACTAAACAGAGTATGCTAGAGTACTTTAGAGTACGCTAGTAAAATTGTGTAATTTAAATCAATTAGATTGTTTATTTATGTATATACAACTTCATTAAACATTATTATAAAATAATATTGCAATACTTGTCTCCAATATTTGTTTTTACCAATAATTTGACAAGAAAACAACATTCATTATTCAATGCATTAAAGATTATATTAACACCCCAATCTCGATTACTATTTTGTTTAAAACTAATTAATTTCAACTAAATTTTATTTATCAAAAATTACATTAATGGCATTACGTGTACTAAATATTTTTCACATTAACAATTAATGAAACATTTCAAGGTAAATTAGATTTGGATCGGGATCAAACAATAAACCGTAACCTGAAATCAAAAGTTGAAATAACTCCTAAAATAAGGAAAACATGCACATTTTATTTAAAAAATATATTTATTATGTTAAACTAAAGTAGAAAAACATACAAAAAGCAGTTTTATTGCATTAAATCATAAAATATTACTAGCGTACTCTAAAGTACTCTATCGTACTAGCGTACTGTTTAGTAGAACCGGGGTATGAGTTTATGGTCTAATCTAGGGATTTATTGGCTAATTATTAATATAAATCAGGGCGTATTCGACCATTTAAATGGTTGTAACGTCAAACTATGGCATGAATATTAACTAAAATTGACATTTCAATAATGTATTAATTTTTTACCTAACATCTGCTTTTATGGATAACCATTTCTCTTGTCGTTGCTGTCTTCTAAGCTGTTTCTTTGACATTGTGGCACTGGCCTGTGTTTCCTCTTTCTCATCTTTTGTAACAGAATCCATGTCTAGGTTACTTGGACATCCACACCAAGGACTATTTCAAAGAACACTCCAATTCCCGACTCGCACCGACTAATCTCATGGAGGCTGACATATTGAATCTCGATCTCGCATGATGCGAGAGTTTAGTGTGAATTCGTCTGCTACAAAAATGGTTTCGTTTTTGGTAAACTCTTTTATTTTTTTCTTCTTCCATGAACAGTAACTGATTGAAACTTTTTAATGTTTTTATTTTTTGTATATAAAATACAAGAGTTTATCTATATTGTCTATATTTATATGCAATCATATCCCCTACAACTAGCTTGTAGCTTTTAGCTGAGTTACATCGCCTAAAGCAGTATGTTATCAACTTATATTACATTACAAACACTGTAGTTCTTTAGAAGCCCTAAGTATATATTTCCTGCATAATCTGTATATAATTATCACAAATCATATATGTTTGTTCAGTCATTATGTGTGGTATTTTGTGTCTTTATCATTATTCATACTTACATTGAACTGGAGACCATGACATCACTTGTTATCAAGCACACATGTTTTTGAACTTTGAACGTGTGGACTTTATATCTTCATCAACTGCAGAGTGTTTTATACACGTGTACAAAATGGCAGGCAGCACTGGTGTTAGTTTTAAATTGGTTATTTGTTTGTTTGCTTTATTTTATGAATGTAAGTTTAATTTTTTATTTTGTAAATTTTTTAATGTGTGAATTAAATGTGTAATTTAATTTGTTCTTGTTTTTGAAGTGCATGTATTTTTGAAGATGGTTGACCTTTTACTATAATTATTCATTATGAGTTAAAAAAGAATGGTTGAATTTTATTCCTGAGTTGTGCTTTTGGGTTGTATATATATCCATCTATTACAGAAAGTTTTGGAAAGAGTTACTCCCCCTGAAATGCGTCTCATATTTAGATTGAGTAGTCAGTACAATGTTTTCACACAGAATATTGTTGAATTTGTTACAGTGCCATGGCTGATACCAACATTTCAAATGATAGAATCAGTATTGACTATGTCTACAAAAAATTGAAGTTTGAAAGAATGGATTTTTAAAATAGAAAAATAGAATATAAATTTTAAAAAATGAGCTAAGAATATCAGTCTGTCAGAACAGCAATGAGTATTACATGTGTATGTTTAGATTATATACATTATATATATATATTTTAGATTTGGTGACTTAATAAATATATTTGATATGTACTTTTAGGTGTTTCACTCAATTTTGGACAAGGGAAAACCTACAAATATACATATGAAACAATTGTAAATTTCAATGAGGCAGTTTCATCTGGAAAATCTGTAGGATTTCAACTGACAACAGAATTTGAAATCAGAGCAGTATTCAGAGCTGGTGATACACAGCTTCTAAAAGTGCAGGTAAAGTTTTATACTGGCACAATGTACCCGATAAATCCTCCAGAAATTTTTAACAAAGCATTTTGACATATAACAGGGTATTCTCTGCATAAATGTTTAACTACTGTGTTATTTAGTATTTGTAAGATAAATTTAATTTATATAAATGACTGTTAATTGTTAAATAATATGTGCAGTTTCTTAGTCCTAATAGTACATTGTAGATGGCATACTATATTTTAAACTTCTTGAAAATTACAGATTACCACTGCATCAGTCTCCAGTTTCTCCAGACGTGATGTAAAGGGAGAATTAGTGAAGCTTCTCAAATATCCAATTTATTTTGAATACACTGATGGAGTTGTCGGAAAAATATATGCTTCGGAAGTTGAGTCAGTATTCTGTGCCAACATCAAGAAGGGACTCCTGTCATTGTTTCAACTACAGGAGACTGAGGGTCAGAGAGATGAGGTACCATACATAGCTGATATGTCATGATATAGTGACATGAACATCATTGAATGCATGAGTATTTAAAAATTTCTATTTAGCAGGGCTAAATAATAATGTTTGTCAGTTTGATGATATTTTAGTTGACAGATAAATATGATGTTTATCAAACAATCATGGAACAGTCTATAGTGATTGGTATATGGATTCCTAAATTTATTTATAAAGTATTAGAGTCCATAATTATGCTTTAAGTCAATGATCTTTTAGTATTGTAAAATACTTTATCTACAGTATTTGTATATTGAATTAGTAAGGGACTCACTGATCACTGTATTTAAACTACGTTATGCGAACAATAATTAAAACTCTGAATTATGTGATAGGTTGATGTCTCTGGAGAGTGCAGTGCCTACTATGCAGTGTCTGGGGGCAGAATCACAAAAACTAAACAGAACTGTCAGAATGTGGAGATAGCAGGAGAGTTTGTAAATGTCAATAAGGTAAAGTTATTCTGAGCACTTCTATCAGGTCATGATCTGTGTATTACTTTAACTAATGAGAGTATCTTTCTGATATACACTTCATAACAATAAGTTCCAAGTTTTGAATTGTCTGTTTTGATTTCAAAACAGAAGGACCAACTTTTTAATTCCGTTGTAAAAGTTTGAAGAGATGTTGATTATTGTAGATGTTTGGAGTATCTTCTGACAATACATTTGTGACACATTACGACACAGCTGATGGAGTCATCAAATCAGCCACTGGTTCCTCCAGACATTCCATCATCATTAACGCTAGACCACAGCTAAATGCTGCTGTTGTAGCCATGTAGGTTCCAAGGCATCTTTTCACTTCATTAATGTTATTTATATACAAAATGCATGTTGCAGTTTAAATTGCATTTTAAAAGGAAAGGAATAAAGTCAGAGGCATGAAACATATAATACACATGTAGTTTCCTTTCTTCTTTCTTATAATCAGGAAAATTAAGATAATTATTGATATGTAACAGAACTCGATAAGTTAAAAATTCATGTATGACTTGTTGCAATTTTCATTATAGACAGCGATTAAACTACATTAGTGAAGCAGTAGGTACTGCTGAAGTTGCGACAAACAGTATTCAGGATGCACTTGATTTATTATATAAAGGTATTTTTTTCTTTTTACAGTTTGATATCTTTTATTCTAAGATTTTTTTCTTTTTCTTTTATTTCTGTTGTGAAATATTAATTCATTTTCTATCTTGAAATAGATGAGCCTAAAAAATATCAAGAGATGTTATTACCAAGTGGACCAGAAGTACAGGAGTGCTTAGAAAATTGTGAAAAAGTGAGCAAATCATTGATAACTGAATAGTAGTAAATTGATCATGCATGTACAATCATTCGTTAATCACCTTAAAATTTATATCAGGTGAATGTTTAATGCTTATGTAATATATAATAAATTTATTTTATGAGGACAAGATATTCAGTTTTGAATCAGATCATCTAAGTTTAGAATTTTGTTATGATCATATTTGTAGATCTTGCTATACTTGTTATAAAATATCAAAAACAGTGCTCCCTATGATGACAATAATTTAGTTTTATTTTTATTTATTTATTTTTTTTAAATTTATTTATTTATTTTTTTGCAGCCTGTATCTATTTTACAATCTGTGAAGGAGGACTTGACGAGTGATAAACTATCAAAAATTGTCTCAGGGAAAGCTTTTCTAAAACTTCTGAGGGCATTTAGAAATTCTGGTAAATCAACAATAGAGGAAGTTTTGACACACCAGGATAGCTATTACATCGTGTAAGTAAGATATTTTCTTGTCTTCATAACATTCTTGTCAAATTATAGTATAGTATATAGCATCACGCTGTACATGTACATGAATGTATCTACATGTGTATGTTGTTTCAAAACATGCCTAACTTAATGTTCCAAGTATGGTGTGAAGAATTGAATTAACATGTTTGTTTGTTTTTTGTTTGTTTTTTGTTTGTTTTTTTTTCAAAACAATCCTCTTATTAAGAATTCAGTTGGTCACTTGGATTAAAATGAAAGTATACCAAAGTGTAAATAACCTATAATAAGTTAAAACCAGTCCATGTTACACCCTGACTGGTACAAAGGTCTTATGGATTAGAGCAGACAAGAATAATTCTCCAATATTGATGCAATTATTTTGTGTAAAGGAAAAATGCAAATTCAGAATATTGACCTTTTGTTTGATGTATATTTTTTAAAAATTTGTTATGTGTAGAAAACAGCTGATAGATGTTGGAGCAGCTACTCAGACTCCTGCAGCCCATGCATCAATGATGGAGTTAATCTCATTTATGGATGAATCTGCCATAGATTACCCAGAGAGGTTCATTTTGGCCTCAGCTTTTGCAACTCATCCTGGGGAATATCTACTAAAAGATATGCTGGTAAGACTTAAGAATAAAGACTGGGTCAAATAAATGGTACAATTTTGTTACCAAATGTTAGCTATCTAAATACAGATAGAGTAGCCTTCTCATCTTCTCGTTACCAACTACAGCCAAAGTGTATAATCCTCTCCCATTCTAGAGCTATGAGCAACTCCTATCCGTGACTTGAGAAAATGCAGATTTCCTTTTGCATATTTTCTTGTTCTTGGATACAGATGACTAATATTCAAACTTTGATATCTGGAATACTATTAAGATTGTTGTGCATATTAATAATGATGTCATATCTGGAGTTATTTCATGTATGTATATTTAATCATGAATTATATTACTTTAGGAACTTATGAAGAAGAAGGTGCCAAATGAAAATCTCAGAAAGTCAGTTGCTCTTGGCATGGGGGCAATTGTAAATTCTTTTTGTAAGCCATATGGAAATTGCTTGGATTATCATGTAAGTTTTGACATAATCATAGCTCATTTGGACATAAAAAAGATTTTCAATAACAACATGTATAAAATTCACTGGAATGTCATGTTTCTGTAATTGCATAAGGTACCTACATGTTGAAATTTGTTGTTCGTATTTCTGTATTTCTTCATTCTTGTTAATTTTTGTCAATCATGAATGCATTTGATACTAATTTAATTCTCTTATAATGATTATTTTCTTTTGTGTAGATAATTGTAGATTATGTGAATTATTTGGAATCTGAAGTAAAATCTTGTGAAGAAGAAGAGTGTAAACTACTGTATATTAGATCTGCTGGGAATTCAGGGCTCCCAAAGTTCCTGCCATTATTACTAGATCAAGCACAAAACTCAAAGAGTTCAACAGTGTCACTGACTGCCATCCAGGCCCTGAGGAGGTTACAAATTAATGCATACAGAGAGGAGGTACATATATAACAAAAGAATATTTTACCATTATTTGGCAAATTGTAGATTACTTGTAAGAAACCAGTGGTTACAGGTAACTACATTATAATAATATTGAGGAAGGCTCACAAAAATAAGATTGGTGTACCAGGTATACAGTAAAATCTAATTTTGGTTATGGTGAAATTCTTGGGACCTGTGAATTTACCAAATCTTGAATTCATTTCTCTGGGTATTTTTTTAACATGTTTGAAAAAGAATATAGAGCAAATTTCCAATATAAATATACAAATTTTCCTTCATGATCACCAAATATGTTCAAGAGGTAATAAATGCAAAACTTGGTTTTACTAAAGTTTTTTGATGAAAACAATTTCAAACTTAAATACTTATGAAAATGGTGTCAGATTAATATTTTAAATTTAACATCTGAAATTTCTTCATAAAAGAAGTATGTACATGTATTGTGATTTTTAACCTCTACTGGATGGAAAATCAGTTCCATGCATATATCCATAAATTTAAAACAGTTGAACTTCTGTATCTCAAACACCGATATCTTGAATATCATGGATATGTTGAAGTGATTTGAAAGTCCCATCCACTTATTCTTTAAGTATTTTACCCTCCATATCTCGAATCATTGGATAACAAGATTTGACTGTACATCAGAGTTCAACAGGGTTCAATGTAACCAAAAAATTTAATGAGGAATTGTGGAGAAATTTTGCTTCATCCATAAATTTGCTATATCCATGTTCTTACTAAATGAGTTTGACTGTATTCTGTTTTCACTCTTGATTTACAGATAATTCCAGTGCTGAAGTACATATTTCATCAGAATAAAAGAAATTATGATTCAAGTGTTAGAATTGCTGCTCTTGAAATTCTTCTACAAAATGGACTCTCAACAGGAGAATTGTGTAATATTGTGTTATCAGCGATGTATGATCAAACAGAATTTGAAGTTTCAACTTACCTAATTAAAAGACTACAAGACCTGTCAGAATCAGATCCAAAGTTCAGGTAAAACTAGTTACGAAAAGACACATAAAGTCATGTGAAATATATGTATAGTTCCTGCCTTTTAAATCATCATGAATAAGTCTGTGGACAAGAATCCGGATGAATTATTAAACTTTCTTATTTTGATAGATCAAGATTAAGTTCAGTGCTTGCTGATCCTAGAGTAAATAACTACTATCTTTTTGCCCAAAAAGGAAAATCAAGTGCATTCACTGGATATCTTGCAGGTTAGAAAATTTTATGTGACCTTTATATTTCCTGCAATGGTATTAACCACTTTAGGTATTGATATTTTAAAGAATTGAAATTTTTCTGAAAGTATGAAAATATAAAGTGTATTTCCAACATTTTTGGTATACATTTGGCTAAGTACATTGTTGTATATTAATTGCTATCTGATTGTGTCTTTCAGTGACTTCAGGAACAAACTGCACATATGGTTTATACCAGGAAAATACAAAGACAGGAGTCATGAAGAAAAGTGCAATGGTTGTTAATGTTTTAAACAAACTGGCGACACAACCACTATTAACGGTAATGTATTCTTCAGCAATGTCTTCTGAAAATTTTAACTGGTAATTGTACAACCAAGAATATATTTTTCAAATAAGATATCCAATTCACCTGAATTAATTTTTTTTAATCATTTAGTTTGGGATATATGCTGAGGGGATAGAGGCCCTGGTAGGGGATGCGGCGGAAGGGGAGGAGTCTGTTGAGGCCACAGCTGGGCTGTCCCTGACTATGATGGACGTCCTGCTCCGCCCCGTGGAGTTCTTCCGAGGGATGAGTGGACTGATGTCAGCTGTGTGGAATGCCCCCTCGGAACCAGTCTCAGCTCTACAGGTACAGCAATGTCCCTTTGTTACATGCTGATGCAATTTGTATGGTTTCTTTTTTTGCAGGAAAAAATATTAAAAGCAAGAAGTAATGGTATTTGTATAAATTACATCTTCTTTGTAGTTCTTTGAATAAGACACAGTGCACTATGTGAGGTTATAAGTTATGTACAATGTATTTTTTTTTTTGTATAGGGGGGTACTTCTGCTTACGTTACAGATAAATATGCAACATACTGTAAATGTATTATATTTAGCGTGTATGATATTTAGCGGAAAATGATTTTTAAACAAGTAAGCGTAGATTTGATTTAGCGCATATCTTGATGTTCTTATTCATGAATCATTGTTTAAGACATTTAGCGATGTACTTGAATTAGTGGAAGTATCTTTCCGCCAAATGCGCTAAAAAGAATACACTGCCAAATGTAATACGTTTTTTTTAATACAAGAAGACAATTTCATTTCAGGGAAATTTACTTCTGCAAGACTATTCCCATAAGATACATCTGTCCAATGGCTTGATTGTTGATGCCAGTGTTTTAGGGGTGGCTTCTATTGATCTGTCAGGAAGTATCAGCATTAGTTTGTGGTACAAAAATTCTCACTCAGTCATCACTAACAGGTAAGTTCTCTACTAAGGCATCATTTATATTCTACATAAATGCTTTTTTCTTCATATGCTCGGTACACTTTAATTTTTTTTTTTTCAATATAAAATTGCTTGATGTTATTTTTCTAACAGTGGGGCAATGGTTGTGGAAGGATCCCTTCAAATTGACTCCAGGGAACTTAGATCAGGAATAAAATTTTCAACAGAATCAGAGGCTTTTATTGACTTCCAAACTGATGTGGACTTTGCAGAGATGCCAGTCAAAATGTGTTTACAAATGAAAAGGCCTCCCATTTCAGCTAGGTATTCAAAAGATTAAAGATATATGCTTTTATAGTATTATTGGTAGATTTTTCAGTGACATGCCTCTTTGTTTCAAATCAGTGAGAGTATTCCCACACACAGAAAAAGAGCTATCTAATATGTAGTCATTATTGTTAATATACCCTGGTATAGTCATTAACTAATAGAGACATTCAAAGATTGAAAGAATCAAATTGATATTCTTAACCAAGGAAAGATGGGAAGTGTCCTATTCATGCAAGTAGTATAAATGTTTGCACATACGTCCTGACACTTCTGATGATACAAATGCTTCTTTTTTTCAGTCAATCTGTAGAAAAATTTGAAAAATCAAGATATTTAAACAAAAGATTGACAATACGAAAGAAGAAATCTACAGCTACCCCTCCAGTCTCCTACTTTATAAATGAGAAAAATTCTTATATGTGTACTACCATGGATCCTGACCAATAAGGTTTGTGATTTTTAAAAAAGTAATTATACCCACACAAACGAAGCTTAGTTGGGAGAGGGTATTTTGGATTCAGCATGTCCATCTGTCTGTCCATGTCTGTAAACTGAATTTTGTCTTAACATGTTCTCTTAGATTATTGCATGGATTTGTCCTAAAATTTGATTTGAAATGCATTATTATACCCCATGCAAACAAAATTTGAGGGTGTAAAAGAACTTGCATGTGATCTTGTCTGAGCAAGTACTTTGCAATGGAAAATCAATGGAAGCTAATACTAAGTGCAAAAACTGTTTATGTCTGGAGAATATGTCATGATAGGATCTATGGACCATTTGTTGCTATTTTTATCCCCCTTGTAAATGAAAAAGTGTAAAATGCAGGGGATGGAGGCTCCAAAATGGAGTGTCTCAAAGTGCAAGGGGTGGAGCCTTTTTAGGTCACCTGAGTCACTCAGGTGCACCTGAGTCACTCAGGTGACCTATTGCCATCCGTGTTTGTCCGTCGGCTTTCGTCGTCCGTCGTGTGTTAACATTTGAACATTTTCAGCTTCTTCTCTGAAACCGCTAAACCAATTTCAACCAAATTTTGTATACAGCATCTGTGGGTGAAGGGGAACAAAAATTGTGAATTTCATGGTCCCTGCCCCCCTGGGGCCTGAGGGGTGGGGCCAAAACCACTAAAATTAATGCAATCTTTAAAAATCATCTTCTTTTCTCCTGGATCTCAACCAAAATTGTGAAATTCATGGCCCAAGGGTCAGGGGTTTTAGTGCTAGGGCGGGGCTATATAGATTATATAGTGAAAATGCATTATTTCTTTGAAAATCTTCTTTTCTGCTCCTGGGTATTGAATAAGCTAAGTAAGTACATAGTTATGATGAGCAAGAGCCCCTCTTCCAAAATTTTGAATTTTATGGCCCCAGGGTCAGAGGTTCTGGTGTTAGGGTGGGGCTCTATTGATTATATAGTGAAAATGCATTAATTCCTCAAAAATCTTCTTTTCTGCTCCTGGGTATTAAAAAAAACTAACTAAGCACATAGTTATGATGAGCAAGAGTGCCTCTTCCTAAATTATGAATGTTATGGCCCCAGGGTCAGGGGTTCTGAAGTTAGGGCAGGGCAATATAGATTATATAGTGAAAATGCATTATTTCTTTGAAATCCTTTTCTCTGCTCCTGGGTATTAAAAAAACGAAATTAGTACAGAGTTATGATGAGCAAGAATGCCTCTTCCAAAATTGTGAATTTTATGGCCCCGGGTCAGGGGTTCTGGTGATAGGGCGGGGCACTATTGATCATATAGTGAAAATGCATTAATTCTTTGAAAATCTTCTTCTCTGCTTCTGGGTTTTAAATAAACTAACTAAGTACATAGTTATGATGAGCAAGGGTGCCTCTTTCAAAATTGTGAATTTTATGGCCCCTGTTTCGGAGGTTTTGCCATTTGGTGTAGGGGGGGGGAGGTCTTTTGATTATACAGTAAAAATACATTAATTCTTTGAAAATCTTTTCCTTTGCTCCTGGCTATTATGCTAATGATCCAAGTATATATATTTATGATGAAGAAAGGTGCATCTAGCAAAATGGTTAATTTCATGCCCCCTGGGTCAGGGGAGGGGGGTGTTACATTGTCTGAAAATAAATTAATGTCTCATTCTTACAAACATCATGGATATCAAACAGACAAGCCAATCTATCTGTTATTAGGACTTCTCAAGTTCCTCTGGGATAGCAGCATGGGACACAACTCTTACAGATGTTTCCCTTGCTCCAGGTCACTTTAATTGAGGATCTGATTTTGTTGTTTCTAGATTCTTTAAAATGACACCAATGCACTTAAGGATAATTCTAATGCTTTTACATTCAGTCTCTATTATCTTAAAAACTCAAGAGCAAAGGTCTTCCCTTTGTTGATATGTGATGGTCCTATATTGTTTCACTGTGTCCTAGCTGCTTCTCATTAACTTACATGTACTTAACAATATATTGTAAAATGGTCTACACAAGATTGAGTTTCAGCATAAAATATTTTCATTCTGTCAACTTCTATTAATTATCTTTTAATTGCTTGGATATTTTGACATTCTACCAATTTAAACAAATTAGAAATAAAAGTTGACAAATCTAATAACCAATTACTAAAATTGCATGATTCTCCACCCCTTGCATCATCTTAACATTAGAAAATCCACCTCTTGTACTTTCTGACATTTCATTTTGGAGCCTCCATCAGTCATCTTTATTTTACACAAAATCCATTTCGTTCATACTTTCTGCATTATCTGCAAACAAGTTGCTGTGAAAATGTTGGCTTGATGTAAAATGTGTAGGTAGTCTAATATTATTATATTTAACAAGGAAAAAAATGGTTTTACAAATTTTCATATTAAAGGGTATCCACCTTGTGATAATACTGTGGTAATTTATTTTGTTAGCTTCATCTAGTTTTACTATTTCTACACCTAATCAGATTGTAAGGGCTGATTTATGGAGTTTCTCAATTAGCAATTAGGGACTGAGTCACATTATCTGAATGATTAATTTTGTAAATGTCAAAGATACTAGTATCATGTAACTTTGTACAGCCTTTCTGACTCAAGCAATTCAATTTAATTTTAATGAAGATTTTGACTTTAATGACATTTTATAATTTGTTTCAGGCACACAAGCCCAAGCATCCAGTGAAAGTATGTCATATGTGTTCAAGTTGACAGCAGACACAATGCAAGACTGATCTCAGTATAATACTCACTAGTCCCAGTTATCAAATACTCTGATTTTTTATATTTTGTTTGTAAGATCAACATGGGCATCTTTTTTTTACACTTGGAAGTAAAAGATGAAAATTACGATGAGTTTTCTTCATCATAAGTACCGGTATTCAGTGAGTTTGGTTTACTGAATGAAATTCAAGAAAAGTATCAAAATTTGATTATATTTTAATGGCAATGAATTCACAACAAATAGCATGCAGAAATTGAAAATGATATAAGTACATCTTGTTTGGCACGATAGGACACTGTCTCTGGGCTTACAATTCCCTGCCTGGCTTAGAGAGACAAACTCACAATTCAATCTATATACACATAATCACATTCTATTCCTTTGGTACAAAAATGAAGTATGAAAGAAAAAACCTACACGTAACTAAATAAAGAAAAACTTAAATAATATATTACATTATCTACACCATACACAAATAAACCACAACAATGGAAATGTTTAAAGTATATGAAACCTCAAATAAAAACTATAAAACCCACAGCAAATATATACAAATAGCTCTGGTGTTTACAAAGCAAATCCTCTACAATATACAAATCAATCGTCTTCCTAATATATAAAGCTGACATATTATGTTATGTTCCCAAATTTACATACATGTCCTTCCTTATATCACAATATAACATTTTGTTTACTAAACTACTGACCCAGTTAATTATAACTAAAGTTCATTTACATACAGGACTGTTTTTTCTTCAAATTTTATTATATACTTGACATCTTGTAAATCATAGATGGACAGCAAATCACTTAGTTTCAACACAAAAGATGGATATTTGATGCACGGTTGTTAACCAAGCCTCAGCTGCCTTTGGAAGCATCTTATAATCGCTATGAATCTTGTTTTTTCCTGACAATGCTAATCAGATACTAATGTAAATGTTATACATTAACGTTTTTCTTTTTATATTGAATCCTGTACATCAGGAATGTGCAATAATCCCAGATCTCAACTTTTAAATAGCATATAGTGCATCAACAATTTTTGACAAATGTGTCAATATGTAGCCTTAAATTAGGCATAGATTTTTATGGTGAAAAATGGTTTTTCCTTTGAATTGGAAAATGAAGTAGAAAAAAGTATACAAAATATCAAAGGGTAGATTCATACTTTTACAATTTCAAAGTACAAAGTTTATTACATAATTCAATTACCATACATTATTCAAGTTCTTTTCATGAAAAATTTATAATTTTTTTTTTTTTCAAATACTTTTACATATTTAAATATTTGCAAATACCCCCGGTACTTAAATAATTGTAAATCATCAAATAGGAATATTATGTAATGCATTTTCATGGTATGTGAATTTTTCAAACCATCTGGACATATGTTGTTGATAACTTGATATGACAATTAATTTAGTCAAGTTCTAAGCAAAATGGTTATCAGAAACCTTTGTATTCTGATCCTTAATATATAAATGTCAAAAGGTATGAAAATTATTCATATATATCATATTCCATGTAAATGGCAATTCTCAAGATTGAAACAGACATTCTCACAAGGATCTTCCACATTGACAGAGGTTGCCTCCCTTAATGGGATTTTTACTACTAGTAAATTAATATGACTAGATGGATTATTGATTATATGGAACATTACATGAGAAAACAAGGAAAGTCCTAAAAGTCATTAATTAATAACTATTTTTCAAAAGTATTTTTTTTCTATTTTTTTCAATTTTAATATTTCTCATTTTTTTTTAAGATGATTGACTTTAGTTTCGATCATGTTCCCTCCTTTTAAAAAAAAATCTAAATCTAAGTTATTAACAAAGGTGTAAAATGTTAAAAAAATCCATTCAAAAAGATTTGGGGATTACTTTAAAAACATATAACATATATTTACTAAAAAATAAACCAACTCCAAAAAATGTATGGACTCGTCAATCTCACCACATACAGAGGTGTATATACTGGTGTATATATAGACTTTAATGGGGAAGTAAGAGATAGGTTATTTTGAGGAGATCGAAAGCATGTGATTTTTATGTAGTTCTCCTACAGTAGAACCCCAGACTCTTGCATTTCTCACACAGATGTTGAGGGTGGACCTTACTTTGGTCAGAAACATCCAGTCCATCAGGCATATCCAGGGGTCTCTGGAAAAGGAACAAGGAAGGGGTTAGGAACACATATATCTCCACAATTATACAAATACCAAGTACATGTAACTCTATTATTAGATATACAGTATGAATCATCTTAAAGATTAATCATTCAATCCCATATGTTGCAAAAAACTGAATTTCAAACATTTCACTTTTGAGTCACGAATGGCTTCTTTGCATTGAGCTAAGGCTGCGTACCTGTTTGTGCGGGTATACCATGATGTTACATTTGATACACGACTGTCCTGTGTTGGCCCAGCTATTGCCACTCATCCACTTCCTCTTACATTTAGGACACTTGTACTCGCCAAAACATCTCTTCTTTCCTTGGTAGGGTGTCAGTCCTTCCCCCTTTGGTCTGGCCTGTTTAAATATGATTTGCATAGTTATTTCTCAGTAAGTTAATTAGATTAGAAATTGCAAAATTAGAGGAAAATTAATTCATACATGCTGCATATCATATTATATTTATTATATTGAATTAACTCCATATATGCAAGATAGCTTGGATATTGGGGAAGGGGGGGAGGAGAGAAATTGATGCACATCTTCGCTCGGAAGACAACAAAGCCATTAAATAAGGATAATTTCCGATTTTCTCATTGCAGACTCTGTATTAATCCATTTAATATCCTACTCATATGAAAATTTATGTTGAAAGATGCATAAAACCCACAAAATCCTCTTGATGAAAACCTGAATGCCTTCAGTAATAATAAAAGCATATGTTTTGGCAGACAAAAAACATATTTGATGAACATTTATACCATGGCTCATTTGAATCACCAATAGTTCTTTGGGCAGCCTTGATGTACACAATATTCAAATAATATTTTGCTGTATTTGTGTTTTTAAGAATGCTCAGTATTTTTAATCTCAAGATTCTGATGTCCATTTAAAATTTCCTGCCATTTGTTATCTGAATAATTTGAAGACATATTTAATCAAAGGTCTTGTAATTCCTTATTGGTGCTCCCTGCACTTTGTAAATTACATTATACATGTACTGTACAAGTGGACATTTTAGAGAGATGAAAATTTAGAAATTTGTTCCTAAAAACTGGTATTTTATTTCTAGTGAAATGTAATTTTAGTGATTTTAAAATTGCAAATAAAGCACATTTAATATTTAGCAATATTCAATTCTAGCAATCTTAGCACCCTTGCAAATAATGCCGAAATTAAATCCCGCTAAAAATTATGCTTATGCTGTATACTGTGTATCACTAATTTTCATGGGGGGTTAATTATCTTTTTTTTTCGAGGTATGGAGAAACCCTTAAATACATGGACAGCTCAAAATGTAAAATTTCACATACATTACTTCTCAACACTTGTCCATCCTCAAAATCAATTCCCAACAAACCATTAATTCTTCTCAAACCTCGAAAATTTGCCTCCATGAAAATATGTGATTTTACAGTAGGTCCCTGGTCACACCAGGTACTGTATTTCTATTAATACTAAATAAAATTTATTGCAAAAGTAATACCCGCAAATGATATACTCCACATAAATAATTCACAGTAGGCCCATACCATGGAACCAAGATTTCTTTGCTTAGCGCAACATGTTTGTTTGTTTACCAAATGAAGGTTCCAAAAGGGCAACATGAAAATGTCATTTGCTTGTACAAATTCATATACACATATAATACAAGAGTTGCATGATTGAAATGCAAGACACAAGCTAATTCAGAGAATCTGTGTCCCCAGTTCAAGATAATGCATTGATAGAGGGGTGGGGGTCAATGGGGTCACTTTCAGAAGGGTGGGTGGTGTAAAAAATTTAATTGCCAAACTTGGGACTTTTTGATATATTGCCCAGATAAAAGTTTTAAACACACACACAGACCTTCACCTTAGACCTTTTGACCTCAAAATACATAAGGGTGTTCCTTAGGCCATAGGTGGTTAGGTCTTAAATTTCACTGCAAAAGCTCAAAGGCTTCTGGAGATATCACATGGAAACGAACGTGTTAAAACACAGAATTTATGACCTTGACCCTTTGACCTCTGGGTCTTCTTTAGGCCATAGGGAGTTATAATGAAAAATATTTCAAATGCTTGATGGCTTCTCGAGATATCTTATTGAAATGAAACTGTCACAGAAAGACAGATAAATGGACAGACAGACTGAAATCAATATTCCTCACTTTTAATATAAAAACTGAATTGATATACAGTTCAACATGATATCGATTAAAAGTTCAAATTCTTGAAATGATAACTTATACCAAGTTTTACGCATTTCTTACATGCAGTATGGTTTGGATTGTTTCATCAATATTGCACTTCCTTCAAACAAATGTCATGATCACCCCTGCCCCCACCCAACTACATGTATATTGCATTCATTATTAAAGAATTAAAATTAATGAATATTTAGCTTCATAATATTGGTAATTTCTCTCTTAACTAGGTGATTTTTTTTTGTGATAAGATTGGGACAGTTACATTTAAAATACAATGTACTACAGGATTAAAATGACTACCACACACAAACTCCAGAAAACTCAAGAATTCCTCTTTTATTACGATATTTTAACGAACACTTTACCAGCCTATATGCATGCACACAAAAATCATCACTTTTGTGCATCAAAAACGTGATGCTGATGTTGAGCATCAGATAACAATGTGATGATAGTTTGGTACTGTACAGTAATGAAGGTAACACTGCACTAGGAGGGTTACAGCTCTATTTTGGTTACCAGTGATAAGGCACAAACAGCTGATAGGACATGTAAGTGTGTTATAAACACACACGCTGCTGTGATGGGAAAAACATGGCAGCTCCTGATTCATACCAGCTCAAAAAATTCATATCGATATAAACATCAAAGCACCTGCTTTACCCTGGAATGTATACATTTACTAAAACAGTCGGATGACCTGTTGTCTGCAATTATTGGGGTTATTTGACAATTCAGTGTAGTAAGGGCTTCTTGACCAATTTTTTGCTAAAGTACATCTTTCCTGGAGTCTGAAGCATTAGTCTTTCTTTTGATTATGATTTTTTTTTGGGGGGGGGGGGTATTTACAGATTTCAAACTCATCATTTTTCTTTTTTGACGGTTTTAACAGACAATTTCAAATTAACAAAATTTTTAATTTTCTCCAAAAACCATTTGGAATGGGGTTCTTCTGAAACCATAGTCTGTTTTTCTCACCTGAGGGCAGTCTCTGATGAAGTGACCTTTGGTAAAACAGAGATGACAGAGGTAGGTGCTGGGTGGACGTTTATTGGGTTTTCTGTCGGTAACGGATAGCGACAGCTCGCAGAACTGATCCGCCAGCTCGTTAATGTTATCGTAACCAGCTGCAGGCAGAGCCGCTGTATAGGGGTGCTGAAAAAAGAATAAACATTTGACAGTTGGTTACGAATGTCAAATGTGCAACATTTATACATTCTTGTAATTTAATACAACATTGACTGAATTCTTTATCTTTTAGGATTTATGTGTTCCAATTTGCAACAGAGACTCGCGGTTGGGGGTGAGCTTTTACCATTTCGATTGCATGCTGAGTTTCTAGCTGCGTTACTTCTGATATAAACATTCAAAGAGGTTTGACTCTGAAACACGATATCCCTCACTAAACTCCTCACAGAGGATTACCAGCGGGGTATCCCTCTCCCACATTATAATTCTGATCTTATCTGTCATACTTCGTCCATTGCAATTTGTATAGATCTATAAAGTATTGCCTCTTGGATTCTAGACATTCTTCACATTCTGAAACGTTTTAACGACATAAAAATTGAAGTGAAAAAAATAATAAAATGGTCACTTACAGTATTGTATCCGTTGATGGGTACCGTATTCCAATCCTGGCCAAATATAGTTTGGCCATTCTTCAGAAGAGATGTGACCGTGTTGACCGTGTTTACTGTCGAAACGGGGTTAGACCAGGGGTCCGAGTAGACGCCCTGTCCCCCTTGCATGGCTCCTTGGTCAGTCAAATAAACTCCCCAATTCATCAACATTTGGGACGGATACTGTTGGTAAGTATCCATGACTGCCAAAGAGGTTCACCCTACCAAACCGATTTTTCTGCTCTCAGCTCGACAAGTGATGGATGTTGGGGGAACTATCATTCGTGTGCCCTCGATGGGGTGCCAGCGGAGTTCATCTGTCTGTATTTGGCAAAAGGGGCGGGGCATGTTTACATCGGAAAACTAGGAAGCTGTGTTTTCAAAGTGGAGATGCTTTGATGTCGTGCCGTTAATTCATTGAATATCCTGTGAAAATAAATGAATATGACGTTAGATTATTTGAAATTTACGACTTCATAGTCCGCTTCACTGGTTTTAGATGTAAAATACTTATAATTACTCGTGGAAAAGAGGAATGTGCTTGGGTCACATGTAATCTATAAACTTTAGAGACGGGAAAAGATAAGGGGGAAGGGTAGTCTATGAGCTTTTCCCATAACCATGTGAAATTCAGACACCCACACCCACCAACCACCACCTCACCCCAACCCAGAAAAAGTTCAGGTTATCAATTACAAAATCCGAGTAGCAACGCATAAAAACTAGTAAAATGTCCTCGTTAAATTTCGAACAACATAAAACTAGTTTAAAAAATTAGAAAAACAAGATGTGTTTGTGAAACACTGATGCCCCCGTACGGCAACATATCAAAGATTAAGCTTTTCGAAATGCAAATTTAATTAATTGGTACCAAAAGTAGGGTATTCTCACTGGAAAACAATTGTGAAATTTGAAAGTAAGCCAATGTTAAAGTTTTTTTAATAAGTACAAAAATCTCCAAGGTCAAGGTCAAAAGTTCAATGTAATTAGTATCTAATGAAAAATCTTGCCACATAGAATACTTATATAGAGCATGAAGGCCCTAGCCCTAACCATTCAGAAGTTATGGCCAACGTTCAATTTTTAAAAAAATAGGTCAAGGTCAAAGGGTCAAAGTTCTTGTTATCAAATGAAAGGTCTTGTCATAGGAATCAAACATGTGAAGTATAAAAGCACTAGCCAAAACTCTTTATAAGTTATGGTCAAGGTTTGCTTTTTTAAAGTAGGTCAATCTCAAAGGCCAAGGTCTAAGGGACAAAGTTTTTGGTATCTAATGAAGGGTCTTCTCACAAGAATTACATATATGAAGTATAAAAGCCCTATTTCTTACCGTTCAGAAGTTATGGCCAAGGTTAAAGTTTTTTCACAAGTACGGAAATCTACAAGGTCAAGGTCAAAGGGTCAAGGTTGTTGGTATCCAATGAAAGGTCTTTAAACAAACATTACATATGTGAAGTATAAATGTCCTGGTTTCTCCTGTTCAAAAGATATGGCCAAAGTAAAAGTTTAAATTTTTCCTGTAAAAGTGGGTCAAACTCCAAGGTCAAGGTCAAAAGGTCAAATTTGGTGGTACCCAAAGAAAGGTCTTGTCACAAGGAATACAAAGAAAGGTCTTGTCACAAGGAATACACATATGAAAGTCATAGTTCCACTAAATCAAAAGTTATGGGCAAGGTTAAAGTTTTTGCGGACAAACAGAGAGACGGACGGACACGACAAAAACTATACAACCCCGAAACTTCGTTTACGGGGGCATAAAAAAACGTTAATTAGCAAACACATCGTTAAAGTTTTACTTAGAAAAAATTTTATATTGCAATAAAAATTCCTTTTCCTGTAAGTGTCCTCATTTGCATGATCACAGCTTTTAACTGAAATGTAATTTTAATTTTCATTCTCCGAATTTTAATACGGACGATTTACTTTATTTCTCCAATGTATATATTGCTAAGATTTTTGGCTCAAAAAATCTTCAAATAATAATTTGTGATTGTATTAATGGGTACATGTCTTAAATTTCAGTCGTGAATACGCACATGTACCTTTTTCTATCAGTAGATACGCACATGTACCTTTTTCTATTGGTAGATACGTACTTGTACTTTTTTTTGTATCAGTAGACACGCAGATGTACCTTTTTCTATCAGTAGATGGGCACATGTACCCTTTTCTATCAGTAAAAATATAAGTAAAGGCACATGTACCTTAAATTTTCTCTCAGGAGATACGCACATGTGTCTTTTTTCTATCAGCAGATACGGACATGTACATTTTCTGTATCAGTAGACACGCCCATGTACCCTTTTCTAGCAGTAAATACGCACATGTACGTTTTTTTATCAGGAGAAAGCACTTGTACATATTTCTATCATTTGATACGTACATGTTAGTGTGTGCAATTGCGGTTTGATCAAGAAAGTTCCCGAGAATGATCTTGGGGAAAAGGATGATCCCAAGACAAACTAGTACTTAGGCATGTAAATCAAAAGGATTGACAACTAAAAAAATATTTAAAAGTTTATTTACAGACTCCCTAGAAAATGAAACAATTTTTATACTATATATACTTAGGAAGGGCATTTACCAACATGTACATACCTTTTCTTGTAGTTCTATTTTCAATTTTCTGCTCTAAGTGGCGTGCCGTCTGAAGATGCATTCAACGTTCATGGAAGCAAAAACATCCGTACCCCCCTCCCCTTTCGATTAATAATCTGCATGAATATGCATTATAATTGAAGTACTCATTTTTTGTACATTTTTATGCCCCCATAAACGAAGTTTCGGGGGTATATAGTTTTTGTCGTTTCCGTCGGTCTGTCTAGCTGTCTCTCTGTCTGTCTCTCTGCCTCTCAGTTTGTCTGTTTGTCCGCAAAAACTTTAACCTTGCCCATAACTTTTCATTTAGTGGAACTATGACTTTCATATTTCATATGTGTATTCCTTGTGACAAGACCTTTCTTTGGGTACCACCAAATTTGATCTTTTGACCTTGACCTTGGAGTTTGACCCACTTTTACATGAACATTTTAAATTTTTACTTTAGCATATCTTTTGAACAGTAGATACCAGGACATTTATACTTCACGTATGTAATCTTTGTTGAAAAACCTTTCATTGGATACCAACAACCTTGACCCTTTGACCTTGACCTTGTAGATTTCCGTACTTGTGAAAAAATTTTAACCTTGGCCATAACTTTTGCACGGTAAGGGATAGGGCTTTCATACTTCATATATGTAATTCTTGTGAGAAGACCTTTCATTGGATACCAAGAACTTTGACCCTTTGAGTTTGACCTTAATTGACCAACTTTAAAAAAGCACACCTTGACCATAACTTTTAAAGGGCTAGGGCTAGTGCTTTCATACTTTACATATTTAATCCTTGTGACAAGACCTTTCATTTGAAAACAAGAACTTTGACCTTGACCTTGGAGTTTGATCTATTTTTTTTTAAATTGAACCTTGGCCATAACTTCTGAACGGTTAGGGCTAGGGCTTTCATGCTCTACATAAGTATTCCATGTGGCAAGACCTTTCATTTGATACCAATTACATTGACCTTTTGACCTTGACCTTGAAGATTTTTGTACTAATTGAAAAAAAATGTCAGCATTGGCTTACTTTCAAATTTCACAATTGTTTTCCAGTGAGAATACCTTACTTTTGGTACCAATTAATTGAATTTGCAGTTAAAAAAGATTAATCTTTGCTATGTTGCCATACGGGGACATCAGTGTTTCACAAACACATATTGTTTTATTAGGTCTAGACTTATTTTTTATGCCCCCGTAAACGAAGTTTCGGGGGTATATAGTTTTTGTCGTGTCCGTCTGTCTGTCTGTCTCTCTGTCTCTCTGTTTGTCCGCAAAAACTTTAACCTTGCCCATAACTTTTGATTTAGTGGAGGAATAATTTTCATATTTCATATGTGTATTCCTTGTGACAAGACCTTTCTTTGGGTACCACCAAATTTGACCTTTTGACCTTGACCTTGGAGTTTGACCCACTTAAACATGAAAATTTTAAACTTTTACTTTGGCCATATCTTTTGAACAATAGATACCAGGACATTTATACTTCACATATGCAATGTTTGTTAAAAGACCTTTCATTGGATACCAACAACCTTGACCCTTTGACCTTGTAGATTTCCGTACTTGTGAAAAAACTTTAACCTTGGCCATTACTTTTGAACGGTAAGGGATAGGACTTTCATACTTCATATACGTAATTCTTGTGAGAAGACCTTTCATTGGATACCAAGAACTTTGACCCCTTGACCCTGACCTTTGAGATTGACCTACTTTAAAAAAGCAAACCTTGACCATCATTTTTAAAGAGTTAGAGCCAGTGCTTTCATACTTTACATATTTGATCCTTATGACAAGACCGTTTATTTGATAACAAGAACTTTGATCCTTTGACCTTGACCTTGGAGTTTGACCTACTTTTTAAAAAAAATTGAACGTTGGCCATAACTTCTGAACGGTTAGGGCTAGGGCTTTCATGCTCTACTTAAGTATTCTATGTGGCAAGACCTTTCATTTGATACTAATTACATTGACCTTTTAACCTAGACCTTGGAGATTTTTGAACTTATTTAAAAACTTTAACATTGGCTTACTTTCAAAATTCATAATCGTTTTCCAGTGAGAATACCCTACTTTTGGTACGAATTAATTAAATTTGCATTTATGAAAAGCATAATCTTTGCTATGTTGCCATACGGGGGCATCAGTGTTTCACAAACACATCTTGTTCCTTTTGTTAGGTTGTGAAGTCAATTGAATTGTGACGTTAACAACTAAATAAACGTAAGCACCCCACCCCCATCCAAAACGTAACGATTAACTATAGAGAAACTGTTTTACATGTATCGTGAAGTTCTTTCTCTAAGTATCATTTTTTGTCCTTAGCAGAAAAATGTGAATAATTCAACTATAGAAGGTTTCCAGCAATTGAACATAAGCATGCTTTCTGTAAAATTGCACATGTTTTCAACGTGTTTGTAATTAATTTGTGCCTTTATGAATTTAAAGCCGTAATATTTTTTAGTTTATCCATACCTAAACTTGTAAACATTATACATACCCGAAAAATGATAAAATAAATTTTATAATAAAAATTTAATAAAATACCTTATCTAATCTCATATAATTAAATAGGATTAACATAAAAGATATTTCATGACATTGTTTCATGTACATGTATTTTTTAAGCAGTTGAAAGCATTTCAAATTTTAGTAATAGAAACTAGAGGTACTGTGAGCAATGAGC